AAAACGTGTAGATGTTAGTAAACAGTATTTGCTCGTTCTATATATAACAGTAAGGTGTGTTCACACTTCTAACCTCAATTATATGATTATAAAGCAGCATTCACAATTATTTTCTGAGATGTGTTTATAATAATATTCGTAGATTGTTGACAATTGGTAGAGTATTGACAAACACAGTGCACAGTTAGATGCAAGATTTGTTCCCATTTTGTTTTTATTGATGTTCTAATAAAAACACTTAATTGTTCAATGGGGCACTTTATTTCTTCTATTTATAGGTTATCTTCTATTTACAACAAGGCTTCGTTTATTTCAACAAACCATTCGCATTCGTTGTTTCGTCGCAAGCAAAACGTGCAGAACATATTGTTAAAACGTGTAGATGTTAGTAAACAGTATTTGCTCGTTCTATATATAACAGTAAGGTGTGTTCACACTTCTAATCTCAATTATATGATTATAAAGCAGCATTCACAATTATTTTCTGAGGTGTGTTTATAATAATATTCGTAGATTGTTGACAATTGGTAGAGTATTGACAAACACAGTGCACAGTTAGATGCAAGATTTGTTCCCATTTTGTTTTTATTGATGTTCTAATAAAAACACTTAATTGTTCAATGGGGCACTTTATTTCTTCTATTTATAGGTTATCTTCTATTTACAACAAGGCTTCGTTTATTTCAACAAACCATTCGCATTCGTTGTTTCGTCGCAAGCAAAACGTTAAGCAAAACGTGCAGAATATATTATTGAACATGTAGAGATATTAGTAAACAGTATTTGCTCGTTCTATATATAACAGTAAGGTATGTTCACACTTCTAATCTCAATTATATGATTATAAAGCAGCATTCACAATTATTTTCTAAGGTGTGTTTATAATAATATTCGTAGATTGTTGACAATTGGTAGAGTATTGACAAACACAGTGCACAGTTACATGCAAGATTTGTTCCCATTTTTTTTTTATTGATGTTCTAATAAAAACATTTAATTGTTCAATGGGGCACTTTTTATTTTTTCTATTTATAGGTTATCTTCTATTTACAACAAGGCTTAGTTATTTCAACAAACCATTCGCATTCGTTGTTTCGTCTTAAGCAAAACGTGCAGAATATATTATTGAACATGTAGAGATATTAGTAAACAGTATTTGCTCGTTCTATATATAACAGTAAGGTATGTTCACACTTCTAACCTCAATTATATGATTATAAAGCGGCGTTCGCAATTATTTTCTAAGGTGTGTTTATAATAATATTCGTAGATTACCCCTCAAAGATATGGATGCAAACACATTGCACCGTTAAATGCAAAATTTGTTTCCATTTTTTTTTGTTGATGTTCTAATAAAAACGTTTAATCGTTCAACGGGCCATTTTTTATGTCAAAGTATCTTCTATTCATCGGTTATATCCAAAATGCCCCAAATGTCAATTTTCATTGAATTTTTGCAATCGTAAGACCACCGTGGTGTCACAGGAGGGCCATATATGATCCACGTGGCAGTCATAGTGTTTACGAAACGTGTCGGACCGATTAAACGAGAAGTGCGCGGTATCGACATTGATTTTCTGCCCTTTTAAGAAGCGAAAGACTCTCGATGTCATTAATCACGTTCCGTTGTCCTCTCGAAGACACTGCTCCATTGTCAACTGGACGTATTTATTCCATTGTAAACGAAACGGCGCGGTAGGTAGATGGTGATCTCGCGTAGGCGGATCGCAGGTGGATGAACGCTGAAAATCCCTATGGCACGAGGTCACGTGTAACGGAGAGAACTTTTAATTCCATGGCGGGACGTCGCGGTCGTCACGGGCTTATGTACGGTCCGCTCCGCTGGCGTTCTTTTTGAAAAAGTGAACGCGAGATAATGGAACGTAATGTAGCGTGAGCAGCCAACGCTGCTACCTCGCTTCGGCTTCTAGCCGTCAGATGCTACACTGGGTGTCCCCGAAGTCGCCTTCGAGTCTGACATTTATTTCATAATCACGCCTCAGGGTGGATGATCTCAATGGTTGCTGTTAATTACGTGTTGATGGACGTAGGTTAATAGACATATTTGTAAGTGAATCTGAATATGTTAATAAAAAATTAACACGACACACGAGTACAAATTTGAACTCTAATCTTCAATTGTAGATTATCGATAATTCCTAACAAGTTGGAAATTAAACAAATTAACATATACTTCAAATTACTATAAATCTTCAAATTTGATTTTCTCAAAAACGAAGTTTACCTTGATTTTCCTTGCATTAGGTTGTCCGGAAAGTGTCTTTCTTTCGCGAACGTGTTTCTTATAACAATGCACCTTCGTACAAACGTGAAACCAAGTTTGTGAAATGCCACCATGTGTTTATCTCACCATAACAAACTGAATCGTATGTAATTCGAGAAAATAATATAAAACAAAAAACATCGTGCGTCTATTATTTCCTCGTAAAACGAAAGGCACTTCTGGGATAACCTAACATTTTCCTAACCTCATTTGTACCATGAATTCAATAATTTTGACCAGCCATAATTAATATTATTTTAAATAGAATCTATCTGTTCATATAAAAATTTGAAGTTTCCTTGTTAGTTTGTTAGAATTTTCTCGATATATTGTTCTTACAATAAAATCGCCTTGCCGCAAAGTTTCGCTCTAGTCAAATTGTTTCTTGTCAAGCTTAATCCCATGGAGCACCACGGCAGCGGTTCTTTTAGCCGGGTAATTGCAAAAAATCTTCCAGCTTCTGCACCGTACACCCGGTAGGAAAGTTTCACGTGTGGGGTACCTTAATGATGCACCCGGTCGGATCTCACGAAAACTCCACTCTCATCGTGCATGGTGACCAGCCATTGACCGACGTTTTTTTGCGTATCTCAAAGCAGACGAACGTATCACGAACGACCACGATCCTCTGTATTACTCGTACATTTTAATTCCATAAAATTTCCAAGCTAAGAATTCTAACGAAAGAATTGTACGATTTCGACGACAAGGTGTATCCCTTTTCATCTTTTCATCGCGTAAAGCGAGACGAGACAAACCGAAACGTTTCTCCGGGCCGCAGAAACAGAGTTCTAACGATGGATCAGGTCATTTTTCGTGGAAAATTTTAATTGCATTTCCCTTACCTTCTCATACTATAAAATTACCATCCCAAACGTTCTAATCGGAATCGCGCAACTTTGAAACAGACTGTATCCCTCGGCCATACCGTTACGAAAAACGGGCAGAACGAAACGTTCAACGAAATGAGATGTTTCTCAGCCGAAGAAACAGAATCCTAGCCGCGGACCGAGCCATTTCTCGCCGGGTGAAGACTCGCGGCCACCGAATCGAAATCATAATTTTAATGAAACCGCTAGGCGAGCCCCGAAAATAATGGTCAACATTTCCTGCTCGTATTATTTTCCGCCGCGGGGGCACGGGGATTTACGAGAAGCGAATGGAAGCAGAAAATTAACGATTCTGCCCAGAGAGGGTGGATCGTGAGGGGGTGGCAGCGGTACGGTGGAAGTTTTTCTTAGTATTTTAATATAAATGCGGCTGCGTCGGCCGACTTGGCCCCGCGCGAGGACGGCCCGGTTGTTTGCGGCAGTTTGTGCCAAGCTAAATGAAGAATGAAGCTGAAATTATTTGGTGGAAAACAGTGAAACAGGATGTGGAAACGACACCGCGTAGATTTACAGGGGCTGGTGCACGCGTCGCGCCACCGCGGCAGGCCAAAAGGCAGGCGAAGGGAGGGGGTTGGAAACTGGCCGACAAGAACATTTTTAAACGCATCCCCTCCTCCTCCTCCACTGGCAATTATAATTCTTCGCGAGATTCTGATAGATTCACGAGAATCCTTAATTTCGATCTTCCTGCGCATACCATTGGGGTTAGGTTAGGTTAGGTACTAAGAAATTTTGTTTTAATATGTATTTTTATAATTACAATAAGTATAGTAATATTGCATTTTGCAATTGCATTTTTAATATCAAATACGAGAGGTAGGTATTTTTTAATAAGAAATATTAATTTGTATTTGGCGCCTTGCCCGCATCTTTTCTGAACTGTAAGATTAATTTTCACTTTTCAAACCTACACAGATGTTTATCCTTGATTTAAAGACTATTAAGAAGACGATTAAGAAGATTGGATTAGGCATTCTCATGGCCCTAGAAGAAAGTCGACAAAATTCTTAAATATAGGTTATCCGGAAAGTGTCTTTCTTTCGCGAACGTGTTGTTTACGACAATGCACCTTCGTACGAACGTGAAACCAAGTCTGTGAAATGTCGCGGTGTTTATCTCGACATAGCAAAATGGATCATACGAAATTTGACAAAATAATATAAAACAGAAAACATTGTGCGTCTATTGTTTCCTGGTAAAACGAAAGAAACTTTCCGGACAACCTAATATCTAAGAGGTTAAGTGCTAATATCGTATAATTAGTGCCTTCATAAAGTAACAACTGCCTGGTGCAATATCTAAACTGTGAAACAAACATTAATTTAGTTTCCATGTCTTTAGTTACGTTCATAAAAATTCGCAATTAATTTGTGCACTTCTATTGTACAATTTTATAAAATGTTTTATAAATTGTCTAGACACGCACAAGCGATAATTTGCTAACTAATATTATTAACGAATTAACAAATTATACAGTATAGATAGACTGTTCAGAAATCATATACAAAGATATGATATGAGATAAAGTCATATACAAATTTTTAGGTTATCCGGTTAGGTTATCTTACGAAAATTCGACAAAATAATATAAAAGAATAAAACATTGTGCGTCCACTGTTTCCTGGCAAAACGAAAGGAACTTTTCGGACAACCTATGATAAATTCTTTTTAAAAATGTTTCAAACGAAACATCGATACGGCTGGCGCTCATTATAGCCTTTCTATGACGTTTTCTGTAGGTATGGTTCATTTGACCGAAACTCAAACGAGGTATCCGTTATCAGCGGTGACGAGAAGAATTGACGAGAGAGAACGCTCGGGACCGTCCCCTTTTCCCTTGCTTCATATTCGCGCCGGAAGCATCCCCATCCTCCAACGTAGAGGGGGAGAAAGGCTTCTTTACCCCACGGTGGATTCGTGGCTTTTTACGGGGAACCAATAATGAACTTTTTTTTCTCCTCCGGTATAAAAGTTGATTTGTAACAGCCTCTCTTTCTCGCCACCCTGTGGACTCTGTCGGTCCCGCAACTTTTCCTCGTAGCCTCTTAAAAGCGGCGAGAAGCGTCTCATTCTCGGTCGCTGATATCACTCGTGGCATTGCTCATTACTCACGCCGTCTTATCGTCCTTACCCCCCATCGAGGCAGCGTTGCGTCGGCTTTCGCTACACCCTTGCTTCGTCCACCACCCCTATTCCTCTCTGGTTCCTCCTTTTTTTCGATGCCGCGGAATCTTATTTCAAATGCTCTTGAAAAAAATGTTTTATCATCTGCTTTATCATCGTGCTATAATCTGCTATTTTATTTCTTATCTCTCTACCTTTTATCTCTATATTTGTATATTCTATGGTTGTTTATTTTGCGATACGAGATCGAGAAAATATCAATTTTAAATGTTTAGTTTCGTCATGTGTTGCTGCACTCTCTTGTATAAAGGATTAATTTATTTATCATTTTTAAGTAAAAAATATTGAGGTTAGGTTAAGACGAGAAATACGTACCAAATGGACTACTCCTTCCAATAATCACGCACGCCCTTCCTCAAACCTATAGCACCTTTTATCGTCGCCATTACTAGATTTCGTGAATTTTACCCCTCTCCGTTGTCGATCGGTCGATAGATCAATTGACAGTGTTGGTCGAGCATTATCCAAGCAACCGTTTGCTCCTCTCTCCTTTCACCGCTTTCAGCCCTATCGCGGTGTACCGCGTTAAATTTACTGCGGCCTTGATAGGAAAGTGGAGCGCACGCTCCCACGATTATCTGTCCTGTCGAATACTTGTCCTCCTACGACAAATTCTTTACATTTCTTGCTATACAGATTCCTTTTTTCTTTCATTTCTTCCAGAAGGAGGGCGAGTGGAAATACTTTTGAGAACATCGCTATTTGTATTTTGCTGAAAGAACTTGTGATCGTATTGCAGTGATCTATTGGACTGGCAACTAAGTGATTGCGACTTCTGTCAGTACTACCAACTGACAAAATCTGCAATCACTTAGTTGCCAACCCAATAAATATTTTAATAAGGTGATTGTATTGTTAGTATTCCAATTGGTAAATTATACTACAAAAACAAGTGTCCTGGCCGTAGTTGTAAAGAAGTCAAGGTTTTCATTCATCGACTGGGAAAAAATTAGTCAACTCGTTAATCGGAATCCCAATCTCTTAAGAGTAATATTATAATTAAGTACTTGTTGTAGAACTGATTTTCTAGTTAGGAGTTAACTCGATTACCAGATTGACAAACAGGATGCAGATGTAGAAAATACATTTTAGCTTGACATTAATTTGGTATCGCATATAATATTAAGTTGGCAATTAAGTGATCGCGGCTTTTGTCAATACTACCAACTGACAAAATCCGCAATCACTTAATTGCCAACTTAATATTATATGTACTACCAACAAAATCACTTAGTTGCCAACCCAATACCATAGTGTGGAGTAGAAATAAAAATTGCTGTATCATATTAAATATTCTATCATAGGTTACGTTATATAACTGCATTGTAGCTTATACAGTACATGCAGGATCATTAGTAGTGTACAATAATATACGATACTAATATACACGAACATTTGCATCATTAATTCATGTCATTATCATGTGTATTCCACACATTATTCATATGTAACCTTGATCATCGCGTGGTATATTCTTATTATACACATTTAGTTAGATTAGTATTCTAGTAGATTACTATCATTCTAACCTTACAACGTCGCTAAAATTTCATCATCAGAAAATACGTATATTGGGTTGGCAACAAAATTATCACCTAATGACAAAATCCGCAATCACTTAGTTGCCAACCCAATAATTGTCAAATATTATTCAACGTTTCCTGGATACAGCACTATTGCAAGCTATTGTTATCATCGTAAGACATTCGATTTACAATTATTGCTTGAAAAAATGACAAATTTGGACCTCCATATTGTACTACAGACAGGCAAAGATACGAACCAATGGGTATATTTGTACCGAGTATTGGTGAAAACGATCAAGTTGCACGGTGAATGTTTCTTATCAGTAAATTAGCAGTCTAGTTGGCCTTCGTCGATACTGATGAGGGAAAGCAAGGCAGGAAGTGACAGGTATCAATCACCGGCGCATCTAGCGCAATGCTGCGGATGAGTTTCTGATACAGAAACTGCAGTCCTTTCTCGGCTGCTCGATAAGCACAATGAAGTAATTCCGAGGGTTCGATATCGGTTTCGTACGTGGCACAGAATATTACATTTTCGGTTTTCTTCCTCTCGTTATCTCGCTTACGGGGAACACGAAGAGGTTAGAGATCTGATCCGTGATGATTTGAGGAATTAGGGAGTGATGCAAGTTTCTAAATATTTATACGTCAAGAAGATTTTGAAAATAGTGCAGAATCTTTTATCATTTTTGTTTCTTCGTGTTTTAAGACTCGATTTCTTGAAATGCGAGTATAGTAACATATTCGTCAATGTTCTTGAATTCCTCTTTTCTATCACTACAAAATAACCCAAAATCGGAGAAAAATATAAAATAATCATTTTTAGTATCATTTTTCAATTCTATGGTAAAAATTTCCTCAAAACATCAAAATCTTATGCTGTCTTTTAAATATTGGCTTGGCAACTAAGTGGTTGCGGATTTTATTGTTAGGTTAGGGCAAAATCCTGTCCTAACCTAACCCCAACCTAACCCCAACCTAACCACTTAGTTGCCAAGCCAATATTACAACAAAAGTAAGGTTAGAATATAAAAATTCAAGAACTCTAGCAACGTTGACAACTTATATTACAATCAAATACAAAGTTTTCCAGCCACTCTACCTGCCAGTGAAATTTACCAAAAGCCGAGATAAAATTTTCATCAATTTTTTATTGTCGTCATTTGAAAACTTGGTTCATAACGTAACGCAGTAATTTCCGAACAATTCGAGTCGCCTTTACACAAACCACCCGTTCGATCCTGTAATTGTCCTCGTGTTTTTCCGTTCACCCAGCTCGAACGGGAGAAAAATCAGGTCATATCGCGACGGTCGGCGCGGAATTCTTTGCCCGCGAGCGTGTCACACTACGCCTCCATAGAATATGTCAGGCTCCATAGAATTCTCCGCGGCAGATAATCCAAAAGAAGACGAAAAGGGATGGCTTTTCCGGGGACGCGCATCAGCAGCTCGGCTGTGAGCGGGTACACAGCACCCGTTCGCCTAGCACACTCCCGTGAACAGTTCATTTATTATGCGGTTAGTTATCGCGCCTTTTCGTCTGATTTCCCTGCCAACAATGCGCCGTCACCGGCGCAGACAGGTTCTGGCGGTTCTTAGACTCCCGACCGTTCTCTTTCCCGCTTCCACGACGTTTTCTCATCCGCCACTCTAAGTGACGCTCACTGACGACACGCCATACGTCACGCCGTTCCTACCCTCTTTCTCCAGCGACGTTTTCATCCCCCTTTTCCATACTCGCGTCTACCTATACCCCTTTCCCTCGTCTCTTTCTCTCACGTTTTTTTTCCACGCTTACGTTCCTTCCAGCTTCTTCTCGTTTTTACCTTTCGTTCTTTCACACCTTTGCTTTCTTCCACCCTTTCTTGCCTATTCGCGCGCCACGATGGCTTCCAACAGCCGAGTTCGACGCAG